TTTTCTAATATTTTCTGAATCTCAACAAAGGTCTGACTCAGAACCCAGCATGCAACTTGCAAAGCGGTGGAAAACTATTTTCACCATTTAGTTAGGTTGATCCACTTAAATCAAATCAAGTTTATTGTGATTTTGTAGAAAATGATATTGTAAACTCTGAGTATGACTGCAGAGTGCTGTGATTTCCTCCACGCAAAACAAACAGGGCTTCAGTCAGTATTTACAGAACACAAATCTCCTCCTCCCCCCAACTTATTGGCTTTTGTATCTTTCGGTTACACTTTTCTTAAATCTATATATTAATTGAGCCTCTTTACATTAATTCCACAGCTTCACTCCATGTACTAGAAAACTCCTGTGTTTTAGTGCAGTTCTTGATAAAGGCACTCGACAGCCTCCTTTCCTTCTGTTACTGTCCGTGATCAGTGAAAACTAATTTAATAAAGGTTCTGGAGACGACCCCGTGGATATCGTACTCATCATTATTACAATTTTAAAATCAACGAGATCTTTCAATTTCAAAACACAAGATTTACTGGAAAGGTCATTTGTGTGCTCCCTTGGGGCTTTATCATTTATAATGCTTTTTTAAGCAACCATAATCGTTCTAGAACATTTTTACATGCATTGCCCCACACTTCAATACAGTACGTAAAATATGGAACAATTAATGTGGAATAAAGAAGAAGTAATGATGCCTCAACCAGAACCTGTTTTACATGAAATAAAATACCAATACTTTTGCTCACTTGATTTTTTATATAATTTACATGAGGCTTCCAGCTAAGTCTCTCATCCAACATTACATCCAAACATTTTATTTAAGAGAGCATTTTGATGGTAATATTGTGAACAATGATCTTTTCATGTTCATAATGCTTCCTTATAACTAATATCATGTATTTTGTTTTGCACCAATTCAAAAAGAATTTAATACATTTGCATGTATTATAAAAAGCTGGTTCAAATATTAAAATAAACATTAAGCTACAGCACCACCATGTAACAAATATCAAATAATTTGCTATGAAATCCAAACAGTAGCTGAAGGCGAATTGATAAACTCCAGAAACTGTTAGTAGCTGGTTGTTAGCAGCCTGTTTGTAGTGGCTACTTTAATTTGCAGGACAAGCAGTATTCAGGATTCCAACACTGACTTTGACAGACGGCGATATTTTAAAGTAAAAGCACAGAAATGGGATAAACGTAGCTCATCTACCGTATATCAGAATTCCCCGACTACATAGATGCAATTGGAGTCACCAGAGGTGACCTGATGACCATAAACAAAAATGT